TCTGCTATTTGAAGGTATCATGGCATTGTAGGTATTGACAATGGTGGAAAATCTAGTATCATATTGACAAAATATGTTGAACAGTTTGGGAGCCCTACTTTTATTCGGAAGTAGAGAGCATACTGTGCTGTGTCTGCACTTCATGCTATGCTGGTCTCTTATACACTTCATATTTGAGGATATATCGGTATAAATGCTTACTTTATATCTACTTATGTTTTGCATGAATGTTGCCGTAAATTTCTAAAAAAAAAAAAAAGTATAACAGATGTTGTAATTTGGTTTTTAAAACTAAGTTTCTTTAGAGAGGGCTTCAGATAACGTTATATGTATGTGGATGTACAAATTACTAATTAAAATTCAAATTATTTGATTTACTGAGGATGGAGTCACTCCTATAAAATGAACATTTTTTTAATGCTCATGAAGCTACTGAGAAATTATTGAACTATCTAGAGATAATTTTATTGTATTAAAGTTTGCAGTGCTGTATAGTTTGATCTGTCACACACTAATACAGCACATCTTTTTGATCCAGGAAAATTGACAAATAAATGAATATTTTGATTTATGACATTTTATACTATAAATTGTGTAAGATCTTTAGATTTTGTACAGTCTTTTTTTAAAAGATTTATTTATTTTTATTGGAAATTCATGTACAGAGAAGAGGAGAGATGTAGAGGAAGATCTTCCATCCGCTGATTCACTCCTCAACTGGCTGCAGTGGCTGGAGCTGAGCTGATCCGCAGCCAGGAGCCAGAAGCTTCTTCCGAGTCTCCCACGTGGGTGCAGGGACCCAAAGCTTTGGGTCATTTTCATCTGCTTTTGCAGGGCACAAAGAGGGAGCTGGACGGGAAGCAGTGCCACCGAGACACGAGCTGGTGCCTACATGGGTCCTTGTGCATGCAATGCGAGGACTTTAACTGCTAGGCTACTGCACTGGGCCCTACAGAGTTCCTTAAAAAATAATTTTTTTTTAGAACATTAATTGAAAGGCCCAGAGGGATGGGGAGATTATTAAGAGTATTTGAAACTCTCAGAGGGACAAATGTGGGGTCTATAGAGAGAAGAGAGGGAGTTCGAGAGATCTTTTGTCTGCTGGTTAACTCCCCAAATGACTGCAGTCAGACTAAAGCTGGGGTCCTGGAGCTCCATCTGGCTCTTCCACGTGGGTTTCAGGGGTCCTAAGTGCTTGATCCATCCTCTGCTGCCTCCTCAGGCACTTTAACAGGGAGCTGGAGCTGGAGCGGAAGCAGGCCAGCTGCAATTGGAGCCAGCACTGCTTGAGGGTGCTGACATGGCAACTGGTATCCCAACCAGGTATCCCAATTGTGCCACAATTGCCAGCCTCTGAACAGAGCTCTCCCTCACACTAGTTCACACCCCAAATGAGCCAGGAGCCAGACGCTCCACTCAGGTCTCCCATGGGGGTGGCAGGGACCTGAATACTTGATCTCTCATGGGGCTTCCATCCACAGGAAGCTACAGCAGAAGCAGAGGAGGAATTCTGTTCCAGGCAGTCTCATCATGGGATGTGAACATCTCAGGTGGTGACTTAAGCTGCTGCACATGGTGCCTGCCCCGTAACTCAATATTTAAAGTCAGGTCAGAGGTGGGCTCTGAATTCTACATTCTAGGGGCTTATTTTTCTGTAGTCTTTTTTTGGGAAGATGTTACATTCTGAATAATTTTTATTCATAGCTCTGTGTATTTCTATTTTAGTGAATACTATTTTGAATATACTGACTCATCCTTATTCATATTATTCAGTGGGTTTGTTGTAAAGATTTATGTGTTTGAAAGCCAGAGTTAGAGATACAGAGGGAGAGGTCCTCCATTTGTAGTTCATTTCTTAAGCGGCAGCAGTGGCCAGGGCTGAGCCGGGCCGAAGCCAGGAGCTTCATTCAGGGCTCTTACTTGAATGGCAGGGCCTAAACAAGTGCTGGGGCCATCTTCCGCTGCTTTTTGCAGGCCACTAACAGGGAGTGGATCAGATATAGAGCAACCCAGGCATGAACCGACATTCATAAAGGTGCCAGCATCAAAGGGTTTGCTCTTTCTTCTGTGCCACAAGGCTGGCCCCAGAATGGTGTGTTTTTTTTTTTATGATTAATTATGCAGGTTTTGTTGAGTGGCAACTTCAAAGTAAATGCATGAAATGAGGTTATGAAGTTAGGCATGTTTTTTTTTCTAACTACTCACAAGTATTTGGTTATAGGACATCTCAAATATTGCAAACTAATAGTAGGTGATAGTCTATTTCCAGGTGACCTGACTGGATTTGAGAGTTTTTTTTTTTTTAACTTAAGACCATACAGCTGTTGGTTAGGAAGAGTGATTAGGAAGATTTGAATTTTCTTGTATGTGGCTTTTAATGTTTTGTCTTTTCACTTCCTTGCTTGCTCTGCCCTCCAGAGTGGCCCAGCTATTACTGCTGAGTCACTCTTACTGCTCTGTATCTGCAGGATTCACCCTTCTTTTTATGTTTATTCATTTATTTTTAGAAAATACATTTCTCCTTTTAAGATCAACTTATTTTACTTGAAAGTCAGAATTTCAGATACCTCTACATATCTGTCTTTCTATCTGTATACCTGTATCTGTTTCAAGAGCTCTTCCATCTGTTCACTCCAGAGACGGCTGCCGTGGCCAGAGCTGGACTGACGTTGGGAGCCGGGTCTCCTCTGGGTCTCCCACAAGGGTGCAAGGGCCCAAGCATTTGGGCTGTCCTCTAGTGTTTTCCCAGACCATTATTAAGGGGCTAAATCAGAAGTAGGGCAGATGGGACATGAACCAGTGCCCGTCTGGGATGCCAGCACCACAGAGAGAGGATTGGTGTTCTATGCCACCTTACTGACCCCAGTTTTTCTTCCTTTAGAATCTCGAACTAATTCTTACTGATTTGGGAATGTAATTTCCAGATGATTTCTGTGGAGGATAATTGAGCACAAGTGTCAGAGGTTTTCCTGGGATTACACAGAATGGATTCTGCCATCCTCTTGGCACATTTTTGAGCCCTTTTCAAACATTTTGGCTTTGGAAAGGAGTTTCTGGATGAATGGGATAGTACTTTTGTAATTGAACTTCACATTTACTTTGAATTTTTAAAAAGTATCCACTTGGGGCAAATTGGAAAGTGATTGTGTTGCACAGGCTATTAAACTTCCCCTTCAACAAATGTTAACATTCCATTTAGAGCTTTTATCAGGCTTTAATTTTATTTATTTTTTTAATTAGTGAGATAGAGGCTAGAGAGAGAAAGTGCTTCAGTCTGCTGGCTTACTTCCCAACTGTTTGTACTGGCTGCTGGTTATGGCCAAACCTGTGGGCCAGAGTGTACGTGGATGACAGCAGTAGATCCTTTCTATGTTGAATCATGCTGCCTATAGAAAAGGGATTTTCTATGTTTTTCTGCTTTTGACATGTCACCCTCTGGCCCAGGCTCTGTCCATACTTACAGAACCAAATTAGGAGAAACTGTCTTGCATTCTTAAAGCAGCTTTCTGATGTCAGGTGCTCGATCTTAGTTCTAGCTATAGCAGCACGAGGCATTGTGGAGAGATACAGAGTGAAGATATATTGGGGTGGTAGATAAGTTGTAAAGTGAGCTGCGCTAAGTGTGGGAGCAGGGCTGGGATGGCTGGAATGTCTCTGTAGCTGTCTGGGATGTCAGCATCCCAATTTATGATTCCAGAAACTTATTTCTATTTGATATTGGGGTGTCTCTCCGTGGCATCTGGTGCTGTTGCTGTTGCTTCTGGCTTTCTGTTCCCCTGTTTTTAGTTCCAGTTGTAGGAGTTCTTCTAGGAGTGGTGTCTCCCCTCCCCTGACAGCTCCCTGTACCTCCACCCATACCTTCCTCCACCACACACCATGGCTTCCATTTTCTCTGCTATTGTTTCCCTTATGGAATTTCTTTTCATTTCCCAAGCATTCCAATCCCCTGGAAACAGAATCTAGATGTTTTCCTAGAGGTTTTGTTGACATCACTGATTATAGTAACTGCAGGTGGTCGCTAACAGCTGCAAGTTGCAAATTTCTTTTATGGTAGTTACCATTTTGCCTCTACCTTTTACCTCTCATAGAATTCATTGGTATTCTCTCCAAGATACTGCAATAAAAAAATCTCTACACAAATCAAGATCATTTAGTGAATAAGCTGAAGGAGAATCATAACCTTTGTTATTTTGCTTGGTTTGAACCTTGAGCAATTTAAAGATACAATTGAAATCAAGGGTGTGTGTGTGTACAGTTGATAATGCAGTTTTATTTATTAAACTGTTTTTATTTATTCTTACATCACCACATTTTAAAGAATGATTCCTGTATATTCTTTTTTAAAAAAGATTAATTTATTTTTATTGCAAAGCCAGATATCTATATCTATCTATATATATATAGATATATATATATACACACACACACAGAGAGAGAGAGAGAGAGAGAGAGAGAGGAGAGACAGAGAGGAAGATCTCCCATCCAATGATTCACTCCCCAAGCGACTGGCATGGCCAGAGCTGCACCGATCCTAAGCCAGGAGCTAGGAGCTCTTCCGAGTCTCCAGGTCTCCCATACAGGTACAGGGTCCCAAGGCTTTGGGCTGTCCTTAACTGCTTTCCCAGGCCACAAGCAGGGAGCTGGATGGGAAGTGGGGATGCCGGGAATAGAACCAGCACCCATATGGGATCCTGGCGCGTTCAAGGTGAGAACTTCAGCTGTGAGGCCACTGCGCTGGGTGCAGATCACCACATTTTTTAAAATAGAAAATGCATTTTGGATTTAGTTGGCTTCTTTATTACATTACAGAAAATATTCATTGTGTTTTTTTTCCAGTATGATTATTCATGCTAAAATAGTAAGTTTCTTCATAGCACAGATCTGTATATAATGTTCTGTAATATGGGATCAACTTTTGGTGATATTTGTGGACTTTACATTAGATGTTTATTATTTAATCCTTTGTGAAGAGAAAATTAACTCCCCTATTTTTTTTCTAGGCAGTAACAGAGAAGAATTTTGAAAGAAAGGATTTCCGAGCCTCCCTAGAAAATGGTGTTCTGTTGTGTGAGTAAGTATTCAAAACATTTGGAAAATAATTTTAAAGCTCTGCTTGTGTGTGTGTGGATGTCTTCACTCCCCTCCTCCTTAAGATGCGAGTTGATCCTTGCAAATTGACACTCCCTCAGGATGAGACAGTAGGAAGGTTATCTGTCTCCGAATCGAAAGATAGTATTGGTGAAATATATATTTTAATTAGTTAACAAGAAAGATTCTGTTATTGCTTTAAGGGCTGATAGGGGAGAACTGTTGAATAAGGGTTATTACGTTTCACCACTCACCCTTTATACTAAATATTCTTGCCTCTGGAATTGTCTGGGTTAGAAACAAATGTAACACTTCTTCATCAGCAAATTGTGATGGTTGAAGTGGCACATTTGTTTTCTTAGGTCTGTGTGGAGTCAGTGTTACCAGAATCAATTGAATCAATTTGAGTCATGAGTCATCCAATTAATCTTACCAAGAATCATATCCCAGGCCATCATTTCCATAAGTGAAAAATCCCAGTGCTATGACTGAAGGTGTATGGACAGACTTGTAGGCTTAGTATTGTTTGTTCCACAATGACTGCATTGTTGAATGCACCAAGTGTGTGACCTTTCTAGGGAAAGGCAGGCAGGCCCATGGGGTAAAATCATGCAATTGTGGGTGATGGTGAAGTTTGCAGAAATAAGCAAATGAATTATGAGAACGTGCTTGCATCCATCTACATTTTAAAAAATAGTGATTTCAACTCAAATACTTATTACATAGGAATTTATGGATTCTCTCCACATTAAGCCTTGGCAATGGCTGAATGTTCTGGTAACTCTTGAAGCTTGTTCTTTGTAGCAAAGTTCTGGAGTCAAGAAGCCTAGGTTGGAGACCTTGCTCCCTTATTTATGGAGATTTGAATGAATGACTTACTATTTGTGTACATTTGAGCAAGTGCCGTAACTTTTGAGCCTTATTTGCTTATCTCTGAAGTGGAGACCAGTGCATCTGATCTAATTTACAAATGTTTCTGAATTCAGTCATACATACATAAAAGTGTTTTTAATAAATTGTCAAACTTCGCTTGAATGAAAGTTGTTGCTGGGAAGATGGCCAGGCTGGTAGAATTCCATTTTTTCTTTGCTCTGATGGCAAGAGTTCAAAGTTCCTTGTTGTAGAGTTTGATTTGGGAAATGCTGCTATTGAACCATTTGAGACCTATAGAAATGTCGGTTTCCTAAGATTTTACTTACTATAAAGAAGAGTCACAAATATCAAAGTAAGTTTGCTGTCCTCTTCCAGTTTGTCACATTCAGAATACCTGCAAAATAGCATTTCAAGTAACTTCAATAGGCCACATGATCAGCCCAGTTGATTCTGATGGGAAATTACTCATTTTATTTAGAACACTGTATAATTCTGATGTATTCCAAAGATTGAGGGGCACCAGATGTTTGTTAGAGGTGTGGGGACTGGCACACTGTGACAGTGAGTTCAGCTACTCGGTATTGGTTTGAGTATTGGCTGCTCCACTTTCAGTTAGCTCCCTGATAGTGCAGCTGGGAAAGCAGAGGAACATGGCCAGAGTGCTGAGTCCTTTTCCATCTGTATAAGAGACCTGGAAGAAGCTCCTGGCTCCGATTTCAGCTCAGTCCACTGCTGACTGTTGCAGCCATTTAGGGAGTGAATCAGGAGATGGAAGAACGCTTTCTAGCTCTTCCTGTATTTGTGTAACTCTGCGTTTCAAATATTTTTTTTTTAAAAGAGAAAGAGATGCGACTTGTAAAATAGCTTAGTTCTCATATGGAGTATTTAACAGTTTGAAGCAAAGTAGCTGTCAATTTTAAGTCCCACAAGTCAGGAGAGGCATTTAGAGGTGTGTGTGCAGAGTGCCCGTGGAGTAGGGGGTTCATTTTAGAGATGTAAGGTCATATGATTGAAATAGATGATGTTTTAAAAGAAGTCACTTTGTGGGTAATAAAGTTTCAGTGATAAAAATATTTTAGGGATCACACCTTTTTGGAGCATAGACTCCATAAATTGGTCATTAAGCTTGTTTGATAGTGACAGCTGACTTTGAATTTAAAATGAAATTTAATTATTAGTCTGGGGTCTGAATTATTTGAAACAATGTTCAAGATTTATACTCAACCGAAGGATATACATTCTATTTCCATGGTGACAGCAAATATTGGAAGTAAGTTTATATATAATATTATATATATAAACTATTATATATATAACCACACACACACAGTTTTGGAAAAAACACTTTTATTCACAAATCTCAAAGCTCATTCTTGGAATATTATTAGAATAATACGATGTGATTGGGTATACTGCTATGTAAATTGAATCAATCTGTTTAATACTCTTACTCTTTAAATGAATGTTTCACCAAAGTAGCTTAGTCATTGTTAAGGCCAAAGTAGTTAGCACTGTAGGGTATTAAAGTACTTCATAATATTTGTATTAAAAATTGTTTCTCTCAATTGTGAGTTACAATTGTTTATGGTCAATGGTTAATGAAGACACATTAATTTAAAAGATGCAGTGTGGTAAAAATAATAAAAAAGGTCATTAATGTTCTTCATAAGTCTAACTGAGGAAAGCCTCTCTGCTTGGTCTATGAAATCATTAATCAGGCACCATTGTTGGTGACTGCCTCCAGCTGGATTGCATAGGAGGCAGGCAGAGGCAGCAGCTCTGAGGCCTTGCCCCAGAGGCCCTGGCTTTCACGGTAATGGTTACAGTGGGAAGCAGTCTGGCAGAATACTTTACTCCTTACATCTCTCAGATATATATGAAAACATGATTACACTTTTTTAAAATATAAGACCATTTTTTTTTTTAAACAGGAAAAGGCTGTCTTCTCCTTTGCTTACTTTTGGAGCCCTCTTTCTTAGGAGACACTGCGTCTGCTTCTTAATTATTAAGAAATCTCCAGCCGCCAGGAGAGACTATTCTCAATATTTCATCTGGTGTGTCATCGGTCTTTTAATCTTTCAGGAGTACTTTTTTTTGAACTGGCATTCTGAAATACCTAAGTCCGGAGCTGGAGATGCTTATTATAGCTTGCGCTTGGCTGGCAGTATGCTGGCCTTTCCGAGGATCTAAATGGGATACAGGCGGTGCTACGGTTTCAGTGAAGATCTGCATCTGAGGAGTGAGGATGGGTTAGGTGCACACCTAGCCTTTTCTTCCAGGCATGACTGCAGAAGTTAGGGTCTTCCTGTTAATCAGTGTGTGATTTACTGTGGGCTCTAGTGAGGTGAGGGCGAACGTGTACCCCCACACCAGTCGAAGTGTTAGGGTTATTCTTTTTTTTTTTAAGATTTATTTTTAATTTTTATTGGAAAGGTAGATATACAGAGAGGAGAGACAGAGAGGAAGATCTTCCGTCCGATGATTCACTCCCCAAGTGAGCTCAACGGCCGATACTATGCCGGTCCGGAGCCAGGAGCCTCCTCCAGGTCTCCCGCGCAGGTGCAGGGTCCCAAAGCTTTGGGCCGTCCTCTGCTGCTTTCCCAGGCCACAGGCAGGGAGCTGGATGGGAAGCGGGGCTGCTGGGATAGAACCGGTGCCCATATGGGATCCCGGGCGTGCAAGGCGAGGACCTTAACCACTTGTGCCACTGCACCGGGCCCTAGGGTCATTCTTTATGGACACAGAGTCTCTATGATTTACTAAGCAGGAAATGGGAACAAAATCTTGTATTGGAAAATTTTCTGATTAGTAGAAAAGATTTTATTGCCTTTTTTGTTTGGTTTTTAAAAAAAGTTTATTTAGTTTTTATTGCAAAGTCAGATATACAGAGAGGAGTAGAGACAGAGGAAGATCTTGCGTCTGATGGTTCACTCCCTAACTGACCACAATGGCCAGAGCTGAGCTTATCCAAAGCCAGGAGCCTGGTGCTTCTTTCTTCCTACACGGGGGCAGGATTCCAAGGCTTTGGGCCATCCTCTACTGTTTTTCCAAGCCACAAGCAGGGAGTTGGATGGGAAGTGGAGCTGCTGGGATTAGAACCAATGCCCATATGGGAACCCAGCATGCTCAAGGTGAGGACTTCAGCTGCTGTGCCACTGTGCCTAGCCCAGATCACATTTTAAAAATGAATTTCACCCATGCCTCTGCCCTGTTTCCTAGTGTTTGGGAGGACTGCCTGCTGTGACTGCTGGCTGCATGGCTTCTCTGGTCTCATCAAAGCTGGTTGTGGCCTCCTCAACTGATAGGACCAGCTGGTCGTTTTCCAGATATTCATAATGTGACAGTAGTCTTGGAAAAACTCATAGAAGCATTTTGTGATCCTTGTAAGAAGTAAGATCTGGCTGAAGCTAGTTTGAAGGGTGTGTCCTGGGCTAGTTGATCACAACCCTGGCATGATTCCAAGTGTTTCCTCTGTCCCCAGCAGTCATGTATCACAAGTTGATCTTTTGTGAATACTGACTCACAGGATGGAGAGGACTCTTCTCACAGGATCACCGGCTCTTTCCTTTTGCTTACAGCTTGGAAAGTGTGGAATAAGGTGTTTAGCTGTTGATTTCAGAGATGCAGCTTCTGTATGCGCCACATAATGCCTGTACTGTCTGCCTGAAAGTAACCTATCTTTTCAAAGATACATTCAGTAGAAGCAAAAATTATGTTATGAACACTGTATACTCTGGAATATTCAGGTAATTGTTGAAAGCCATGAGACAAAATAAAAAACTGTGACTGGTCCTTCTTGCTGCAAGCCCATTTTGCTCGAGTTAGAGAAGTCCAGGCACATCTGGGGTCCTTGGAATTTGATGTGGGACTCCACGTCAAGTTTCTTTTTTAGATGGAGAACTTTTTCTCTTGGACTTGTTAATGTTGGATTTTCCCAAGGAGGAAGAAGAGAGGGGTTACTTGCATATATACTTGCATGTGTTTCCCTGATAACATATGTGGCTATTTGCCATTTATGTATCTCTGCTGAGGTAGCTGTTAAGATGTATGGTCCATTTTTTAATCAAATGATTTTCTTTTTTTTTTTTTTTCAAATTATTTTCTTATTGC